TTGTTTGTTACGCAACGTTTACCAAAACTTTTTGCTCACCGTCCGTACAGAACATACCGGGGGCCGCTCCCGCACCTACGCCACCGGGTATATCACCTGCAGTACATTGTAGGACTTGTCTACTAGTTTATTGTACCTAAAATCTTAAAGCGTTTAAAGTTTTGGGTTTGATTCCTACAAAAAAAGAATCGGTGTTTTAAACTTTGAATCGTCGAGTCAGTAGAATGATATCTGTATTACCGTAATTGGTGTAGCTACTAAATGGACAATATACTTAACTTGATATTGTGCAGCTACACAGCTAGGTGTATATAAATATATGTATATGTACGCAGTAGTCGGGGGCCGCCAGTATCTCGGGGTTATCTTTGTTTACATGTTGTAACTATTGTAGTAAATCAAATCTAATGCTTCGCCTACTAACTGCTAACAATTAATTCCAATAAATGTATTACATGCAATTACAACTTGTTTACTTAGCACTTAGCACAAACTGGCCTTTGCTAGACATCTACAACTACAAATATAAATATATTTAAAAACAAAATATTTTGCTTTCCAAACTAATGTCAAAGGAGGATGAGTAAATCTAAATTTATTTTGTTTTTTTTGGGATTTTTAAGGGGGGAAAATCATCGAATGACTTCTCCCGTCTGGCAGTAGGGAGTGTCAGACTCTTACTAACTAAAAACCACTCCGTTCCTACTCCTGCCCTTCGAGCCGAAGCCCCGGCAACCCGTTAAGTCCTCCGCGGCTCCGTATCGGCATCAGCCCTATTGGGCCCCATCCGTGGTGGTCTGATGACTCCTTGATTACCCCTTTGTCCGCAGGCCCGTGCTTACGGTGGCCGGAGATCGTCCCGCGATCCCCGACGCCCGGAGTGTCCTTCGCGATGGCGGGCTGGGTCCCTACAGCCTCCTCCTCCTTATCCTTAGCTGGCATGACTGCTTCGCAAAAAAAGTAGACAGTTGGAAGCAATCGCTCGTAATATCCGGCAGAGGGCGCCTTGGGCTTCGCAGCGCAAGTAGCAACATCGAGTCGAGCGCCAACGCTGCGCATGAGGAGAACCCCTCTGTGCTTCGAAAATAGTAGAGCTTTTCTCAGTATATTCACGTGAGTAACCCGCAGTTTTTAGTTAATTTAAGGATTGTTGGGGATTTACCTAAGGATTGGGGAGATTGGGCCTCCGGTTACACGTTATTTGTGCTCGGCCGTGGTATCACTCCAGTCGAGCCGGCCTATTCCTGTCGAAGCATGGCTCTTCCACATTTTATGGACATCAGACGGCTTCAAGGACTGAAAAACGCGATCTGCGAATGTATGTACAACCTACAATCACTGAGACGAAGAGGTTTGTGAAAAGTAGGTACGGTTGGGAATTAATTATCCTTTCTATACCTACTTTATTACTCTCTCTATTCTAGTACAACAGATACATATACATAACTAGTCACTACTCATGTCCCTGGGACGCGCCGGACTTCAGTGTTCCGGTGTTTTCATGGTTGTATCTACTGTAGATCCTGGCTTACAGGAGTTGCAGCGGTTTTGGGAGGTTGTGGCGGGCTTGTCCCATAAAAAAAAAAATACATAACTAGTCCCTTAAATGAGAAAATACACAATGAACGAACTTATCCCCACCACAGCAATTCTTTCTAGCCATGGTAGGTGCCAGCCGGCTGGGTATTATGTACTCGTATACTATGTTGTGTGTCGATGAACTCATCATTTGAATAAATAAAATAACCAATGTACAAAAGGGTATCATATACAATCATCCTTTGTTTAAAACCGTTCGGTAACTTTTACGTGAAAGAGCGACAAACATGTTAAACAGAGGTAGGTAGTAGGTACATAATTAAACACGTATCAATACATCCTCACTTTCTGCATTTATTTAGGATTTATAATATTAGTAAGGATTGGATTCAGAGGAACATTGGTGTGTGAGTACTATGATCCGACATTACTACGCACACAAATAAATGTTTATCATTCTGTCAAATAGTCGCAGAGGAGAAATAAAGAATTATTACAGTTGAATCTAGAACAGCGACACCATTTACAGGGGTCTTACTCTGCTATGCTTCTGATATATTATTCAGCTTTGGAGGAAAGTAGCTTTCTAAAGATTTTCCTTCGTTATTACGTACGCAATACGCGTATTTATTAGTTTATATTATTTGAGTTTAAGTTTACATATCAGAAATAGTTATAAATTATGTGTGTTGTGAAATATAAAAACTATTAGTTACTGTGAACTCTTGGAAAAGGATAATTAATTTAGAAAGCAACATGGAAGCGCTGACAGTTCCGCCATGAATGCAAAATAAATAAAAATTGTGAAGAGGCTGGACGTCACTTGAACAGGTCAGAAACTTCACGATGTTGAGAGGTGGGCGTGGAGGCCGTCACAGTCCGGAGCTGTACCCCCAGTCCCCACACGCTGAAGTGCTCCAACGCCAGTGACACCAGTTCTGCTAACAGTGGAAGTGACACAGTGACCTCGGTACATAGCTCTCTGGACATGGATATGGAGGTGGATCTTTCAGGTCTCCTTGAGTCTATTGTTGACTCTGATGAGGAAGAAGATCTGGAAGAAAGTATGGACAGCTTGACAGTCCGAGATGCAGTGCGAGAATGTCTTGAAAAAGATCCAAGTGAACGAATGGATGAAGATATAGAAAATTGAAAGCATTTACTAACATGACTTCAACAGTGCGTCGGGCTCTGTGAGCTGTCATGGTATTTGCTGTGGTTGAAAAAGCTGGAACAGTGGTCATGAATGATGGAGAGGAACACGACTCATGGTCTGTTCTCATCAATGGCCATATTAGTATTGAACACCAGAGTGGTGAAGTGGAGCACTTGAATGTTGGTGATAGCTTTGGAATGGATGAAGCTACACTTGAAACTGTCAGTTTGTTTGCATTACTCAAACTAACTATTATCGAATACTACACCAAGGTGAAGAAAATATCAGAAGACATGAACATGAAAATGGTGTAGTAGTATTGGTCACTGAATATAGAGGTGTAGCTGGAGAGTCAGGGCGACAACAGGGCCTTGTTGTTATTCGTGGAACTCCAGAACAATTGATGCTGCAGCTCATTGAGGATAACTCACGAGATTTTACATATGTTGAAGATTTCCTGTTGACACAACACAACAATACTGGCAATATTGACATTTGTTAGTTTGATTTTGACAAATTTACAGTTATGAAATCAATGTTATACTTTGCAACTATTGTCATAGCGGACTAACGTAACATAAACCACTGGAAGTCTGTAATGTATGAACGAGCCAATGCCATCGCCGCATCGCACCAGCTCTAACGCTTTGTTTGTTATTATTTAAGTAAGCGAAGCATTTCAAAGACGGCCGCGGCTGTGCCGCTCGTTATCTATGGTTAGCACACATCCAACTTAACGCAAATACCAAGCTATCAATCAAAGTGGGCTTATCAGTTATCACAAACACTATTTGTTTTACATCCGCGCTATCGACGCCCGCGCCCGCGCCCGCGCCCGCTCCGCACGCACGCGCATGCGCGGCGCACACTGCGAACTCTCTCTGTAACTACTACCACATTTAAGAGCTTTCAGACAGATCTCAATCGTCATTTCACGGACGAATGACGAACTCTATTCTCCCCACGGAGCTACTTGTACTGTACTACTGAACAGTCAGTATGGTATTGGATTCGTTGCATGCCGGTGAGGAAATAAACGTACAGATGAATACCAACCATGGGCAGCTGCTTAACCATTAGTTTGTTGACTCTAGCAGACTGCACGTACTGCACGTGGAGGTACTGTAAATATGAACAAGTACGGTAAAATGGGGTGAATAGGGATCGAGAGGCGAATAGAGACAGAAGAGAAGTGAATCGATACAATGAAGAATTTCTCAATATCTATTCACCCCTCTTCTGTCTCTATGCACCTCTCGATCCCTATCCACCCCATTTTACGGTAGGTGCTGAGTGGTGGCCGTACACTCGCTATTCAATCATTAAGGAATCCTGCGTACTGTACAGTATATGTATTGTATATAAATATAATAACTCATACTGAAAAACAAATCTTTTCAAAAATTTAATTTGGCTGAGTTAGAAATCGTACCGTTTCGCAATAGTCGCATTTGTAATACGTTGTAACTAGTGTGCGCGTATTGCACGGAATATTGGAAGATCCCAATTCCTTATAATTAAAGTTTCACAGTTTTATTGTGACTATTACAAAATAATTATAAGTACCTACTCCCTAGCAGTGCAGTCACTGCCACTGTGTAACTGTCTATTATACCGTAGTGTTGTAACGTGTAAGTTAGCAACGTATGCTCAGTGTTCAGTGTTCAGTGGTCAGTATTCAGTAGTCAGTAGTCAGTGGTCACGTCTCGGCCGACGAATGTTGGCGGAAGCGGCTTGTTGGGCTACTCATTGGGTATAATGATACTGGACTGCCAGACGAGCGAACAATTAACGTTACGCGACCACCACCACGTACCACGTGTGGCACTTGTTACTGGTTGCTTCGTTCTAACACTATTACTTTATGTAGGTATCTAGCTGTTGCACTACATACATAATTCGTAGAATTAATACAAGTAAATGAAGCTCAGGCGTAGGCAGGTCCGTAAGCTGCACGCAGAACTATTGCACGGTGGTCTGTGACAGGTGTATAATATTGAAAAGGAATTTTTGGCACAAACACGAGGAGGAAGAATGTGGAATAATTATTAATAGCAAGGACAGGAAGTATGGTGCCTAATGCATACACAACAAGAAATGGAAAGTCTGCAGGCAAATCAGAACGTAAAGTCTCATTTATAACGATTTCATTATTTTGAAGTCGACGCGTTAAAGGAGATGTTGAGAGTCAGCAGGCATTTTGTGGTCCCACCGCGGCGCGGCGCGGGCGCGGGCGCGGCCGCGGTGGCAGGCGGAGCGCTGCGCCGGCGGCGGCGGCGGCGGTCGCCGGCAGCGCGAGCGGTGGAGAGCAGTGTAGTGGTGTAGTGCTGTCAGTACGGCCGCGACTCCGCACCGCGCGCTACGCCACGCTCGCAGTCCGGCGCCAGTCCCGCTCCGACGCTCCCACATGCCGAGAGACGGTCAGTAGCCGCACTTTTCGTGTACTACATATGCATACATCTACATTTATAAATACCCGCCGCGGTCGCGCCGCCTGCGCCGCGCTAATATTGTCACTCCGCGTCCGCGACCAACACACTGCTGCCCCTCGCCCGACCCCGCACTCTACAAACAACAACTTTATCGCTTGTATACTTTGTCACTTATTTCCTTAAAAGTTAAAACAAACTGAATTTGGTCAAAGTACTTCACTCTAGTAGCACCTACGTAACTACGCACCTAGTTCATAAAATTCATTGTTTTATTTTATTTGTAATCCAAGTCAATGTTATTGTGAATAATTAATTAATCCAAGTCTAAGCCACATGTGCGCTACTTCGCATGTCTTGTACTCACCGCCAGCGAGTGCGCTGCGTGTCGCGTGCGCCCGCTGCAGTACCTTCTACATAACTGGGCCCGAACATTCATATTCACAAATATCAATAAATATATTAACAAATCAATAATGTTAAACACATTTCCACATAGGTACTGCTTGCTATTTAATGCTGGAATCGACGACGCCCGAATGGCCTGACTAGGGACTAAGTATCCCCTTGTACATGCTATATATATATATACCTAACTACAAAACTTGTGTCTGTTAACATGCCCCATCTGAATTTTGGAATCACTTAATATTCTTCATTGTTATGAATGATTTCACTTAAATAGATAGTATGTACCCAGTTGATAGCATAATATAACATAACATCACGCCTTTTAGCCCCGGAGGGGTAGGCAGAGGTGTACATTATGCCACTGCACAATGTAACACCCACTTATCACTATTTGTTATGAGTCCCATGTAATAGGGGGTAAGCCTATTGGCTTATACCAGGCACTATTCAAGACTTCGTGCTACTACTGTGATTTTTTTGAAAAACCCAGTTATACTTTGCCCGACCGGGAATCGAACCCGAGACCCCTTGCCCGGCAGTCGCAGTTGCGACCACTCGGCCAATGAGGTAATCGAGTAGGTACACAGGTTACAGCAGTCAATACAGATTAAGGACATTAATTTGAAACAAATAATGTGCAGTTCACAACTCAGTGACAAAAGAGCACCGAGTCCGGGTACAGTCTGTCAGGAGTAACTGTGTAAGGAGTCAGAGCGGCCTCAGTCTGAACCTACTGCCTACTGCACTCGAGTACCCGACTGTACCCTACTGTACTCGACAGTACTGCGCGCTCCGTCTCCGTCCGCCGCCACGCCACATTCTGCCGCGACACTACTCAACATGTACCTCTACATATACTAACCGATATACATTTATTAATATTTATAGCAAACAAAGTAGAAACATTCAACTTTTGAATTTCGGACACAACACAAAGGCTTGCCATTTAGGTGTTACCGAGAAATTATTATTAAATAGTATCTAAATAAATAGGTAACTTGGCAACAAAATCATGGCCTGGTCTTTAACCTGAAGCGCCGCCGTTCTGTAGTTACACACTTACATTACTCGTACCTACCTCCTGTTAAGTTTTTGGAAACTTTTAGGTAGGTATATAATCTTATCTCATTTCGGTGTTATCGTGTTTTTAACATTTATATTAAACATTTCGGCAGTATGACAAAAACAAGATCCGGAGGTCACGGCGCGACTTGATTTGTATACCGGACACCGGCGCGGGCCGCGCGCCCGCTCGGCTCTTATGTGCGCACGTTATTCAACACTTGCGAACATTCTACAATTCATTAGTTATTATACAAAACATAATCTAACCACTTTATAAAGCAAGGGTTTCGCACCGTTTCTGTAGAACTACAAAATCACGTTTTGTGTGGGGACCACTTGAAGATTTACTAACTATATTGTGCTATTAGTATTGCTAGCTAAAACTTAATCGGAAATATCTACCTACATCATCTATACCCAAGGACTTGCACTGTACGGTTCATGAGATGCAATCTGGTGACAGATGGAAAATGTAAGAATCTCAGTATTTTGTGTAAGCATACGTGTGAGAATAATTATGAACACACTTTGGCACATTTGATTTACTTGATACGAAACAAGAAATAGATGTTATCTGACTGATCAATTAATTGTTATTAGATATCGCTGAGTATCACAACATTATAAGTATCCGTCAACACACCATTAGGTAACAAACAAAGCACGTCAAGTTATTTTATATGCTTTGTAAATATAGGAAATGTAAATGATTCGTAGAATGAATATCAATGAGGCAGCCGAGCACCTGCTGGCCCCGGCACAAGAATACAGCTCCCGTACACTCAGCCACTCACTCCCCTCTGCCACTCAGTATCCTCGACAGCCACTGCTGGGACTCTACTCTACACAACAGCTTGGCCAGCGTGCACTGTACTGTAGTTGACGTCACAGAACCTATATAATTCTTTGTCCTCCAGTGTCCAGTGTGTGAGCGACCCACGGCACGCGGCGCGGCGATGCGATTATATTATTCGATCTCTCGCAGTCGCACCACATGAGCCGGTCGTCCACATTAGCATAGAGATACGTCGCGTCGACTAGGTAGTAGGTAGTAGGCGCTGCTATTTAATGTCGCTGCCATATCTTAAATTTGCTCATTTCAAGAAATGCTTGGGTAATATTGAGGTGGTCATAAATTAATTGGCTGCATTTCAGAAAATTTTGACTGTCTATTCACACCACATCGTGATGTGCTTAGGGCAAATAAACGATTAGAAATAATTTCTCAAGGTAGGTAAGTAAACCGTTAACGTGCGTAGATGATTTAATAATCTAGTCAAATTAAGTGGCCCACGAAGTGGCCCATTTCATGAAGTGATCAGCTCTACATTTGGCCACCACATTATACACTTATCTGTATTGCTTCGCGTGCGCGTTAGAGCGGGCGCGCGTCGCGCGTCGTCGCCTCAACGCGGCGATCGCGCATTTCATTACTTAATTAATTATTGATACGTACATACGTAGGTAGGTATGTACGTGGCAGGTACCGACGCTCGAAACGTTCAGGTCAATTCATTATTACAAACTCTTATTGAGGTTCACCTGTCCCGTTGTCTGTCTGTTTGTTATCAAATATTGCAAGTTTAATTGTCAAGCACCGCGCGGACTCCGGTGACCGCAACCTATTGTTCTTTAAACTGTCAAACACCAAGCGGTCACCGGTGACCGCAAACTATTCTATATTCTTTAACTATGTTCTTTAATTGTGTCTATATTGACGGTGCTCGACGAGTTAATTGTGTCTATATTGACGATACTCAAAGAGTTAAATTTGATTCACTTCCCGTTTTCAGATTAAGTTGAAATTTTGTATGCATGTATAAATTGCATAAGTATGCTATATTATTATACCATTGAGCTGACCTGATGATGGAACTCCATAATAAATAGACGCAGCCCCATCGAGTTTGGGTTCATTTGATTTGTCTTGATGAGGGCTTTGGTATTAAGGTGTGTCCAAACGCGGCGTGCAAGGTACGCGACAGTGCTGCGCGGCATGTCTGACACACGCCACTATAAAATGGCCCCTTGTGTTGTAGCTCTGCTTCCACTTCATACTGCACTGCAGCCGGTCTCCAAGTTGCATGAACTGGGGTTGGAAGCTCTCCGTGGCCTATTTAAGGATTGACTATTTGACAATAGCCTGGTCGGAGAATCATATTAGTGTATTATAATTATGTATATGAATATATTTAAATTGCTTCTTCGGAAAATCAAAATTTCTGGTTATTGCTATTGGCTACAAGTCTTCAAGTTTTTTTATTGTGGTATGCTTTTTGTCGAGGATACCCTAAGCCCCCTTACGCACTAGCGGTCAACCGCGCGGCTAGCCGCTCCCTGCGGTTGACCGCTTTACCAATTTAATATGCAACCGCTATGGCAACTGCGTCTGTTGATACGAACCGCCTAGGCGGTCAACCGCTAGTGCGTAAGGGGGCTAACTCTTTAAAATAACTAATTATCACCAAATGTTTAGAGACGTTAAGAATGTTCGCGCGCGGCTGTCGTCCAATCACAGCGCGGCAAGTCGCGCGCGTCAGCCGCGCTCGGTTGCCACGCGGCGCTCGGTGTTTGGACACACCTTTATAAGAAGCTGGAGGCTGGAGAGTGGCCATAGGAACTCCTATAAGAAATATAACAACAAAAGGGTGTTACATTATGATAGTATAAATAAGAGTAGGTCCTCCTTTCCCTCTCGGTATCAAAATGTCCGTAACATTCTGTATTTATTTGCAACTACATAGTTTCTGCCAGCGCAGCGGCTTCACCCGCGCTTCAAAGGTGAGGAGTAACTTATGTATTACTCGTTACTCCAGACCGTTCCAAATTTTATGTGACTTATACATACAAACACACAAATTTTCACATTTTATAATATCGGTTCAAGCTAATTTCAACCATCCGCCCTACAGTTACAGCGTAAAGTCCACTGCGGGCAACCTAACATGCGTCTAACTTATATTTGCGTTTGGTAAAGTAACTTTGAAATGACTGCACGGTTGGCGCGGTGGCTGGGCAACTGGCTGCCGCGCAACGTGTCGCGGGTTCGATTCCCGCACGGAACAACTCTTTGTGTGATCCACAGATTGTTGTTCCGGGTCTGGGTGTCATGTGTATGTGATATTGTATGTGGGGCAACGTTTTTTTAAAAAGAGAAAAAAAAAACTTTGTCTAGGGATTGAGCCGCACAATTATATTTGTTTTTAGTGGGTATACTTTTTCGGCATAATAAGTACCCAGCATTGTGCACAGGATAATCCTTATCCTTGCTATAATTTATATATTAATTATATTAATAATTAATTAATTAATTAATAATACTACTAATAATTAATAATATTAGATACTACTGCTACTACTACTAATACTACTACTAATAATTAATTATTAATTAATATTATAAATCTGAAAGTGAGTTTGTTTGTTTGTTCTGCTTTCACACCGTAACTACTAAACCGATTGCTTTGAAACTTTGCAGACGTAAAGTTAGAAGTCCAAATTAAATCATAGGGTAC